GACGCTGGCGCTGGGAGCCTTCATCAACCACCGCAAGGAGAAATTCCACTGCGGCTTCGGCCTCACCATCGGCTGAGACCTTCATCATCCTCATCCTCATCTTCAGCTTCATCATCCTGACCATCCTCATCTTCATCCTGGGCCTCGTTATCTCGATAATCCTCGTTACTGTTGGGCACCATCATCATCCTCATCAACCACCGCAAGGAGAAATTCCACTGCGGCTTCGGCCTCACCATCGGCTGAGACCTTCATCTTCATCATCCTCACCTTCATCTTCATCGTCCTCATCATTGTACTGAGCTTCGTCTTCATCCTGGGCTTCGTTATCTCGATAATCCTCGTTATTGTTGGCCACCATCATCATCCTCATCAGGCACAGGAAGGAGAAATTCCACTGCGCCTTCGGCCTCACCATCGGCTGAGCCTCATCTTCATCATCCTCATCTTCATCTTCATCATCCTGACCATCCTCATCATTGTCCTGAGCTTCATCTTCATCCCGGGCCTCGTTATTGTCACGGATATCCCGACCATCATCATCCTCATCAGCCACAGGAAGGAGAAATTCCACTGCGGCTTCGGCCTCACCATCAGCTGAGACCTTCATCTTCATCATCCTCACCTTCGTCTTTGTCACCTTCATCATCCTCATCATCGTACTGAGCTTCATCTTCATCCTGGGCTTCGTTATTGTCATGGATATCCTGACCATCATCATCCTCATCAACCACCGCAAGGAGAAATTCCACTGCGGCTTCGGCCTCACCATCGGCTGAGAGCTTCATCTTCCTCATCCTCATCTTCATCTTCATCATCCTCATCATTGTCCTGAGCTTCATCTTCATCCTGGCCTTCGTTATCTTCATTATGGCCGTCGTTACCCCGACCATCATCATCCTCATCAGCCACGGGAAGGAGAAATTCCACTGCGGCTTCGGCCTCACCATCGGCTGAGACCTTCATCTTCATCATCCTCACCTTCGTCTTCATCATCCTCACCTTCATCCTGAGCTTCATCTTCATCCCGGGCTTCGTTATCTCGATAATCCTCGTTACTGTTGGCCACCATCATCATCCTCATCAAGCACGGGAAGGAGAAATTCCACTGCG